GATTGTGCCTTCGATGACAACTTTTTGACGAGATCTGGGAAAAACAGGGCATAAGATTGTGCTCTAAGATCGTACTTTGTGCTTTGATTGCAAACACACCCTCGCTGGCACACCTAATGCTTCAGTGGGAGCATTGGCCTTGAGCAACGCTTACAAGTAGGCATAGAATAGACATGAGCGTTACAAAACACAAAGTTGACATGGGCACTACAAACGTAAACTATAAACGCTTCTAAGTTGCTTCAAATCTGTCGGACTGACATGATCTATAGCTCAAAAAATAGAGAATTTCAAGAGCTTTCGAATGGAATAAAGCAAACCCAAAAATATCAATGATAAAGAGAGTTACAGCAGTTTGTAGCCTGACGTTTCGACTACGCGCGAGTACGGTCCGTTTCGAGTCATTTTAAAGGAATTTGCCACCAAATCAGTTAAAAGACTGAATTTCTTTAAAAGAAATCGTATATAAGGCGGCGCTCGTGTTTTTTTTTAGGCCAATTTTTCGGGAGTGGCTACTGCGCCAAATTTTTTGCGCAACTGCGTCCTTTGCGCAACTGCGTCCTTTGCGCAACTGCGTCCTTTGCGCCTTTGTCGGGATAAACTCGTTCAAAGCTAGACCACGCAACACTCCGCACCGTCATTATGGGGGCGGGATACTATTACAATATTTACGGTAGGTATTTCGTGGTCAAAACCAGAACAGTGAAACTTTGTTGATCTACTCGATTTTCTACACTCACACAATCAGATCATTTTTAATCACTTTAGATAAGCAGATCTTGGCTTGAGGTTAAATTGACAGACTTCAACAATTTAACGGTGAAACCTTGGGTTTTCCATAAAGAGTATCAATTTTTAAGCAAAAGCAAAAGCAGGGCTATTTTTGATATCTAAGCGCACATTGTAGCATCAACCAACGATCTAGAAAGTTTTCAAAAAAAACAATCGATAATTTGATCGAAGAATTTCCTCAAGAAATGGACATGGTACTTTGAATTTCTCAAAAAGCTCTTCAAAATTTAAGTGATCCCAAAAATGGGCTTCAAATGTTCGAAGAAATTCTCTAAAGAAAGGAAAAAAAAGGAGAGAAATGCAGAGAAATGGGCCGCTTCCACTTATGTCCTATATAGGAGATCATCTCAAATTTCTCTCCTCCAAAAAAGTGCTCCCAAATTTCCGTCTAAATTCTATAGAAAATCGTCTAAATTCTAGAAAATCGGTAAAGGGATCTTTCTCTCTATTTTTAGGAGAATTCTCAAATAACCTTGAACTCTTCAGACAAAAATAGAAGGAAATTTGAATTTTTGGGACACGATGGGGGAATGAAAGGGATCAAGCGGTAGATTGTGAAAGCAGAAAGCTAAGCAGAGGCTTATGAAAGTATAGATTAGGCAAAATTATAGATTAGGCGTGATTAAGAAGTTGGAATAGGGTTTGATTTTTGATATTTGACCTTTTAGTTGGTTATGCCAGGTTTAATCGTCAAGTTAAACCTGCAATTACGCTGTCCAGAAAGTCTTTTCGTTCCTTTTCATTCTTTTGTTGAAAAATAAAAAATCCACCAATTAATCTACGATTTCCTCTAAATAAAATGTGTTTATTGTTCAATTTCCCATCTTTTTAAGTCAATTTTGGTTCACTTTCGAGCAAATTCGAGAGTGAAAGAGTGCTTTTTCGAGAAATTCGAGAGTGTTTTTCGTCAAAATCTATAAAAACCTCTACATTATTCATCAAATAATGAATATTGCAAGTAAGTTTTTAAACAAATCAACAAATTAACTTCAGTTCTGAATTGTAGACTTGATCACTCATAATTAGAAGATGCTTTGATGATTCTAAAAGCTATTTCTAACATTTTTAGCATTCGTAAAAGCATTTTAGCATTTATAAAAGCATTTTAGCATTCGTAAAAGCATTTTAGCATTTTTAAAAGCGATTTCTAGTGCCCGATAAACTGGAAGAAGGTGAATTTGAATTTAAAATCGCCGAAAATGGCGGAAGGGAGTCTTGTGTGAATTTGAGATGTTTTTCAGGAAAGAGTTGCTAAAAGATCAACAAATTTTGAGCAAAGCATGGAAAACCCAAGAGAAAACTTCTTTTCAAACCTCCTAAAGGTTGTTTTTGTAGAGGACTTTGAAGAGGACTTTGTAGAGAACTTTGTAGAGGACTTTGTAGAGGACTTTGTAAAGAACTTTGTAAAGGACTTTGTCAAGGACTTTGTAGAGGACTTTGTAGAGGACTTTCAGGTAATGAATGATCCATTTCTTTGCCCAAACGTACAACTAACCAAAAAAGAAGTCCTAAAGTAAATCAAACTTAGTTTTAATCTTAAAGTAAATCAAAATTAGTTTTATCAAATTTCTCAAGCAATAAATCGATTCCGACTAACAAAACCTCATTTATCAAATCAAAATGAAGGATTGATTACTGAAAACAAGAGAAAAATCGACGAAATGAAGCTTTCAGCCGAGTGTCAGTTGTCTTTTGATAGCTTCTGTTTGGGTTTTATCTCTGAAAAACCATTTTGAGGCAATCATTCAGAAGAGAGAAACCCAATTTTGCCGTTAATTTATCGCATGTTCGGCTCTCTTCGAAATGATTTTTCTTTTTTCGGCTCGTTTTCACAATTTTCACGAGATTTTACGGAAAAGGCTCTCATGGAATCCAATTTTTATTTAATTTAATCAGCTATTAATCTAACAATTACCATTCAATACGATCTGATAATTAGATTACCACTAGATTAGATCTAAAAAGTCTAGAACAAGTTTTAGATCAAGTAACCAGGACTAGGAAAGTCTAGAACAAGTTTTAGATCAAGTAACCAGGACTAGAAAGTCTAGAACAAGTTTTAGATCAAGTAACCAGGACTAGAAAAGTCTTTAAACTGAATCATAAACTTTTGATTGGATATTGAAAGCTAAAACTATTCCATCTAGTTGATAAAAACTGACATCTTCTGTTCTAAAAACGTTACAAAACTGTAGAAGTTTTGATCTTATTGTTCCTAAGACTTAGTAAGCTGATTTGCCTAAGCATCTCTCAGCTTACTAGGTCTTAGGAACAATAAGATCAAAAGTCCAATTGGCGCTTTTGCTGCTTCCATACCGATTAGTCTCCCTCACTATGGTTATCATCATCTCTCCATCAAAGAATCGTAGAAATGATCGGTAGAAATCGAATGAAGTTGCACACGTAGATGATATATTGTCGGCATTGTCGTCATATTCGGCATTGTCGTCATATTCGGCATTGTCGTCATACTCGGCATTGTCGAAACGCCAACGGTCGTTTCGCTTTATGTCATCCTTCCACAGATCCTCATCCTCATCTTCGCTGCGCTCATCTGAAGAATCGTCAGGCTCTGGGGAACTGCATGGGATCTCTTCGTCATCTTCATCGCTATCGAACTCTTCATTGCTTTCCAACAAATAGCGGAAAAAACTATTGAACTATTGAAAATATTGAAACTATTGAAACAAAATCATGAATCATGCTAGAATCACGTTCCAAATATTAACTTTAAAAGAAACAAAATCCCCAACCAACAATCGAACATTAAGATTAAGATTAAGATAAAGATTTTACATGAAAGGCTCACCTCTTTACTCCGCATTGCTCTTTCTAGCGAACGTTCTTTGTGCGCCCACATAAACGCTTATCATTTGAAAACGAATGGGAATTGAAGAGAAAACCTTTTCTGTTTTCCATTTCCTTTTTTCCTTATTCTCTCAGACACGCTATGTGTCTTGGTCTCGCTTTGTAAAATTTTTAGATTGAGCATTCACTTTCTTTTTCGAATATACCCAAAAAACCACAACTAGAAAGGCAAAGGAATTTTGCTGAATTGTTAAACTTTTATTTAGAAACTTTAGGCTTATCTTTAGAAATGGATAAAGTAAAAGAATAGAAAGGCTTCTTTATGCATAAAGTTTTCAGCTATGTTGTTAGGAATTTTTGTTCTGCAACTCTTACAAGGGAAAGATCAGAATTGGCCGTGGAATTTTGACTATAAATAAGTGTGATAAGGGTAATTCGAACCCGCTGATTTTGAAGTTTTTGCGCAGGCTTCACCAATCACAAGGAACCTGACAAACAAATTTTTGGTAGGTCTATAGAAGCGACGGATGAAGCTGTGGAAAAGTGTCGCTGTAGCTGATTGGTTAAGTAATCAGGGTGGGCCAAAATTACCGTTACATAAAAAAAGTCTCTGTATAAAAAGCAAGTCAAAAAAGTCAAAGATTTTTCTTAAAAATAACTTTTATTGTCTCATAACAATTCATAAAAACTATGCCTTTTCAAACAGATCTCCAATAGCTTTTACACAAGCGTCCAAACGTCGTAGAAAAGCTTCGATCGTGGCGAGAAGGTATATAAGCGATCCAGCTCTTCTCCAAGCCATCATCCAAGCCTTTTCGAGTGCTTTTTTCAAACTATCAACAGCTTTGTGTGTTTGATAGCGTCAACTGATAGCATTTGTGATTTATTTTTCTTGTAGACCTTTAAATTAAGCTTTAACTTGAGCTTGTTTTTGATGATTCTTCTAAGGGATGTTCGCTTAATCCCCATTTCTTTTTGTGACATTTTCCGCACCGATTAGTTTGGCGTTTTAAACAGACGATTCCTCACATTTGCTGCAGTTGTTACCGTTCGCTTTCTTCCATTTCGCTTTCACATTGGCGTGTGAGTAAGCATTGTAACTGTAATTTTGGCCCACCCTGTACAGCTAATAATTCATCTTTAATATTCAATTAAACAAAGAAGAAACGAAGAAATTTGGATATCAAAATCGTTATTGTAATTGAATAATTGCCTTTTGCAGGATCTTCTGGTTTGAAAATACGTCTATCCCAAAAATTTGATCGTGGCGAGTTTGATTTCTTGATTATATTTGTGTTCAGAATGTAATGCTTTTAAAATTTACTACCTTTTATTACATACAAAAGTACAAAGAGGTAGTTCATTAAAAATTAAAAACTCAAAACTCAAGTAGTTCCTTAAAGTTTGCTCTTTGCAGCTAGCATCATTGGCATAAGGTGTTTCTCGACAGCGGGAAGGACCTTGAAAATGGAAACAATAAAATGTAGATGTACAGTACGTCTTGAAAAAACTATTCTTAATCTAGAAAATGTCATAAATGCAGCTATCCTTACCTCAGTTCTGTTCAACGGATTGCTTTTAGCCCATTTGAGGAGATTGTCGTAGACATTTCCATCTCGACGACCCAAAACACTGCGCAACTCGGTGTCGGAGACTTCATAGGCATCAACCTAGATATTGCATGATACAACTTATCTCGTTGCCTTAGATTGACCCTAAATCTTTAGATACTTTTTTCTACTAGTTTTTATAAATGAGAAACCCATCAATTGATCATTATTTTGTAATGTAAAGCTTACTAATCAAAAGAAAATTCAAAGTAAATCAATTGACAGAAGATCGAAAAAGTTGAGCTTGACGCGAGCTTTAGTTCACTTCAGTCAACTTTGAAGAAATGGGCTGGGAAGTCCTGCCTCATCCACCATACAGCCCAGACTTGGCGCCTTCCGACTACCATCTGTTCCGATCAATGCACCACTCCTTGGCCGAGAAAAAGTTCAAGAACCGCGACGAGGTCCAAATTTGGGTGTCCAACTTCTTCGAGTCGTAGCCGGTCGAGTTCTTCAAGAAGGGCATCCATTCTCTGCGTGAATGTTGGCGACAAGTCATTGATGCAGATGGCGGATACCTTTTGGATTAATGTATTGTTATCTTGTTTTTATAATAAAATAAACTTTTAACGAAAACGCGCATTTCTTTTTTACCAACCTAATAAAGGCTTAAGTCACTTAATCATTCACCAATTCTTAATTCGCCTAATCCATTGAAATTTGTAGGTTTATTGTCAGTAAGCAAAAGTGTTTATTGTTAGTTGTTTAACACATTTGCGACGATACGGCTCACCGACAGGCCCTACATAGATTTAATACTTTTTTGAGGCCAATTGGGCTGAAAATTTGCAGCAGGGGGTTTTCAGGGTCAAGGAATTCGAATCCATGCTTAGCTTTTAAAGAAAACCCTCTATTTTTGGATATTTTATTTGGTTTAATCACCCAATTTCTCGATCTATTCGGCTGGCCCATAAGTCTTTAAACACTTTTTTCTACTAGTGTTTATAAATGACAAACCCACCAATTAATCTGCAATTGGCTTCATTGGAAAGGCCTACTATTTTTCTACAAAATAGCGTTCAAATCTTATAAAAATGTCTTGTCTATGGTTTTTTATGGGGCACGAAGTCGGGTAATCAAAAAAGGCGACAACCTGAAGACGCAATTTAGGCGCTTTCGTCCACAGAAACCTATCTTGATGTCAATAGATAAAAGATAGAGCGCAAAAAGTTAGGCATATAGCCGAATAATCTGTTCAGCCGATTTCTTTGTAGAGCTTTTTCTCGAATTTTTCGATCTTCTGTCAATTGATTTGCTTTGAATTTTCTTTTGATTAGTAAACTTTACATTACAAAATAATAAAGCAAAAGCTTTTGAAGTGAAAGCGAATCGCGAATTTGTCAACAAGTTCACTTACATACGAAACGGCATTCGGGCGGATCTTCTCCAAAAGCTTGTACATCGCATCTTTTACCTGAGCGACCTGATCTGAGTTTGCGTAGCCTCCCTGAAAGTCTTTATATCAACCAAAATTCAGTAGGATTCTCAATTTTAAAAATCTAATCGAATTCTACCTTACCTGATATAAATATTGACTCATATCGACAACTTCATAAGTCAAGAAGAGTTCGAGGATGTCGGTGAGAGCCGATCGGATTGCGTGGTTCTCGATTCGGTGAACGCGGTCACGGAAACAACGAGCGATCCACAAACGAGTGTGAGTACGAGAGGCCTAAAGTTTTGACTTTGAAATCATTCGATTTCTTCAACTTACTCTCGTCAACTCGACGGCATTCTCATTCCAGGCGTTTTCCGCGGAAAGACCTTTGTTCTGTAGGGAATCCAATCGAGCCGTCACTCTCTCGATGGTGGAACGAGCGATATACTCAAGGGCCAAGATCAACGCGTTTTCTGGAACTCATGAAGTGAATAAAAATTGGATACTAGCTTTACTACTAGCTATTAGCTTTACTGGATTTACAAGAGCTGTTTCAAGCTACAAGAGCTATTTCAAAGCTATTTCAAAAAGCTATCTCAAAAAATGAGCAAGCATAGACGCAGAGCCATCAAGCATTTCAAAAAACATGAATCATTTGCTTGCTCAAGCATTTCTTATATAGCTATACTAATATGAAATCTATAGATTACAAAAACCACTTTACCAAGGTCAACTCCGCTTTCCCCAATACGGAATTTGTTGTTGCTGGTGTTCGCCAGATATTGGAGCATTGTGGAGAGCTCTTCGCCGTGAGCGAGCCGATGAATTCCTTTGACTAGGTATCTGAAGGTTATATGATTATGATAAAATATTTTGATGAAGCTAAAAAGCTGATTTGTGACTGATTTGTGATTACAGAGATCCAGTAAAGAGTACAGAGACCCAGTACAAAGTACAGAGACCCAGTACAGAGTACAGAGATCCAGTACAGGGTACAGAGATCCAGTACAAAGTACAGAGATCCCGTACAAAGTACAGAGACCCAGTACAAAGTACCGAGATCCAGTACAAAGTACAGAGATCCAGTACAGAGTACAGAGATCCAGTACAGAGTACAGAGGTCCAGTACAGAGTACAGAGATCCAGTACAGAGTACAGAGATCCAGTACAGAGTACAGAGGTCCAGTACAAAGTACAGAGATCCAGTACAAAGTACAGAGATCGTTGTTACTTACCTGGCTTGTTGTTGAAGCATCACCATGTTCTCACCCTCGTAGGTGCAGCCAGCGATCTCAACGGCTAAAAGATTCATTAATGATTTAATCTGAGAATCTTTGATTGCTGATCTTGTCAAACATTCCGTTCTAGTTACCAACCGTACATCTCCGGGATTCCACTTGCATGCGAGTATCCATGTCCTCCACAAGCCATTCGACACTGTTCAATGGCTTTTCCCGAATCATAGGAAACAATTGATTTCATTCCAGACAATAAGGCGTGTAAGTCGGCAAGTTGTTCGACCTAAGACGAACGATTCACTTTTTTAGCCCTTGGACTTGATCATTTCGCCTTGAACGCCTTGAACTTGAGACGATTTGCCATTTGAATTGCCTTTCAGCAATCTCACGGTTCAAAACAATAATCTAATGAATCAGAAGGAATATTGCCTTAAGTTCTTCACTTAATAGTTACCAATTGACCAATTGGTTAACTGTTTCTTTTCAACATTACTCAAAAACGGTTAAAGATTTCTCAATTCTGATTTGACAATTCAAACCGTCGTAGTCCATTGCCCCAAAATCGAAATTCCTCAGATCGAAATTCCCAATGGGACTCGAGTTATGAGATGAACAGACAGACACACACAAACTTTGTGTCTTATAATAAATAAGATTTAAGATTTAAGATGGTTAAGAACACTCAAACTTCATAAATTTACCCCTGTATAAACGCTGCAAACTCACATTCCCATGCTTGACCTCTTCAGCAATTTTCTCATAGAGATTCTTCACTTCGTCACCCACAAGGCGATAGGCAAATCCACGAGCCAGTGCCGTGAAAAGGCGATGTTGTTGGGTCTGGTATTCGAGAATTTTCACTTCCCCATTTCTAGAAGCTATACTTTCTAGTCATTTCTTTTTACTCACCCAGTTTTAATCTCTCCTTGTCGTCGAACGCACGAGTAGCGAATGGCAATTGTGGCGGCTTTGAGCACAACGTGAGCCTTTAAATAGTAATGTTTTCATTGGCTCAAAAACAATATTTGAATTGGCCTCTGCTTTCGATATTTTAGCTTTATTCTTCGGTATGTTCACGCAAGACAAGCATCCCTTTGTGAGCGGATAACTTTTAATAATTTAATGGCTACTCTATAGCACGCGCATCATAAACTGTGGAAATCAGCAATATATACGTCTGTCTGTCCGTCTGTCTGTCCGTCTGTCTGTCCGTCTGTCTGTCCGTCTGTCTGTCCGTCTGTCTGTCCGTCTGTCTGTCCGTCTGTCTGTCCGTCTGTCTGTCCGTCTGTCTGTCCGTCTGTCTGTCCGTCTGTCTGTCCGTCTGTCTGTCGCCGTCTGTCTGTCCGTCTGTCTGTCCGTCTGTCTGTCCGTCTGTCTGTCCGTCTGTCTGTCCGTCTGTCTGTCCGTCTGTCTGTCCGTCTGTCTGTCCGTCTGTCTGTCCGTCTGTCTCGTCCGTCTGTCCGTCTGTCTGTCCGTCTGTCTGTCCGTCTGTCTGTCCGTCTGTCTGTCCGGCGCGCTATCCACTGCTCCACGGCGACAAAAGCCGTCGATCCCCAAAACATCTAGAAAAACCCGTCGTTAGAAAAACGACGGGTTTTTTCTCGCCTGGTTACATATAAACTTTTGCCAGAAATAAGGAAAAAAGCAGAAATTGCAACTCGCAAGCGTTAATATAACGTAAAGAAATAAAATTTAACATTACAGCATTTGGCTGAATATCTTATGCAGTTATAACTATACAAGTTCGATTGATCGAGCAATCGAGTGATCGAGTTTTTCAGTGATATTTTTTTCCTTTTACCCACCAACATTCGGATCATTGTAGCTCTAACGAAAATCATGGCTCCATAGGACAACTTTGGATGAACAGGAGGAGAATAGACACCATCAGCCGAGACCTAAACAAAGCGTTTACCTTAGTTCTACTGAATCACTCATGATATAGGCAAAATTATTCGTTTTTCCATTTCCCGACCTTCGAATGTCTCATCAACATGTTCCTTCTCGGAATTCTGACATGATCGAATCGCAAAAATCCATTATCGTTCGTATTGAGGCCAAACTTTGGTCCAATATCACCGACAGTTATTCCTAAAATACTGGCTTTAGTTGCGAATTGGAATCTCATCAAACCAGGCATCGGTTGATGTGTATTCTCATCTCTGATCTGCACCAAAAAGTTGTGTGGTCCGTGGCTCTTGCCGTCAATGTAAAGTTGCGCATTAGCGATGACGTAGTTCGCCGTTTTGCCGAGATTTCCTGGCCACCTAAAATAGTTTTGACACAACGGAATATTTGACAGACTTCTTAGTATTGAGCTATACTTGAAGATTAGCAAACAAAGTTAGAAATCAAAGCCGGTGAAGTGCAAAAGCTGTCAGAGATGCTCTTATCAACTTTTGCTTGAGAACTTTGCTTGAGAACTTGTGTCAGATTTGAACTTTGACATTACCCAATGAACTGTACAATTTTATCATGGGAATTTTTCCCTGAAAATTACCATTTGTAAGCAGACACGGTAGGCGTGTGCAGAATAAACTCTTGAGTTCGCTTATCATAAGTGGCCGTTGTTTCGAGTGCTCTCAAGTTTGTCCCATGTCCGAGCTCGGTTTGCGCATAAGTGCCGATGAACTCGAGTCTCATCGCCTGGAATTGGGTTTTCAGTTTGGCTAGATCGAATAGATCGATTTCTTCGAATAGAAGACCAGTTTTGAATAAAAGACTGCCTCGACTAGAAAGAAATACGGTTGGTATCTAATTATAGCAACGAGAAAGTATTGTGTGCGTTAGATAAGGCAATTTCTGACTTGAATCAAATGTGACGTCTGTGACTTGAATCAAATGTGACGTTAAAAGCTCCTCAATTGACTCGTTTAATTTGACATTTGACTCGAAGCTGGGTAATTAAACCATAGATGAAAAAACAAGAAAAGGGAGAGAACAGAAAACAATGTTGAATGACTCAATCAATGATTCTATTTTGCTTTACAGACTAACAATTTGGACGACACAGTGTGAGCAAATGAGAAAATGAAATGCTTTACGATTTACGCCGCTGCCTTTATATCACGCATAACTGAAGAAATTTTGTTTACTGAAGTGTTTGTCTACGATAGTTTGAGCTTTGTTTTGAATTGAGGGTATAAATTGGTGCAAGTTGTCACACTAATAGCATGCTAAGGTGTCACACTAATAGCATGTTAAGGTGTCACACTAATAGCAAAACAAACTCTTGGAATCCATTGCTCGGCTTGTTCGTCGTCGGCTTGCCCCTGGATTGCTGGCAGGAACATGACGAAATGAATCGACAACGGGAAACCATCGTCACCGAAAACCTCGCTAAACTTTAGCAATTGGCAAAATTTATTTAAAAATATGATTAGAATCAAGTAAACTAGGTAAAACTAACGAGGGAATGGTCAGAAGTGACCGTAAGATTTTGGCTAACTGTTATCCAGATAACTGGATAACTGCTATCCAGCCAACTCACCAGACTAGATGCCCAAGTTCTTCACGAGATGTGAAATCACAGATCTCCGATCCCTTTTCCATCACAGCTACCGTCTAAATAAACAATTTCATTTCCCATGTAACGTTTTCACCTTTTTCATCGAGTTCTCGACTTTTGTCGTTCGATCCAAGAAAACATGAGGACAATCATCCAAAAGTTCGGGTCTTTTCAGCACCTCGGCCGAGATTTCTCGTCGACGTTGGGCTAATGGCTCTGGAAATGTTTTATGTTTCAATTATTTTCTAGCTGTTGATAGTCCTGAAGTAAGGTGAAGAATTGGTAAAATTCTGGTTTTGTCGGCAATTTCTTTTAGATTGAGAATCATTCAATACTCAAGTCTTCGCCCCAACCTCCATAGATCTCAATCGCCAACTCCTCCGTACTAAATGTAGCCTTTTGCCTTTCTTCGGTGATATCCGGATTGTCTCCATCACGAATCAAATGATTCAACGGCATCACTAAAGTTAAATTTACAGGTAATAGACCAAATTCAGTTGAAAGCTGCTAACTGTTGAGTTTAGCAAATGACAAGAAATCACCGGCTCAAAAACGAATCATAAATTGATGGGATAGTCTTGCCTTATCTTTCTCCTTTTCCGTCACAAAACTACAATGTGATCACACTACAAGATTTTTGTCAAATGGGGACAAAGATCAAACAACGAGAGTTGCCGTTGGTAAATTGGTAGTGAATCTAAGCCAGAAGATAGTTTGTGAATTAGTACAGTTTGTGAATTAATACAGTTTGTGAATTAGTACAGTTTGTGAATTAGTACAGTTTGTGAATTAGTACAGTTTATGAATTAGTACAGTTTGTGAATGCATTTTGTACAGGCTTGGGCAAAATTACCGGACAAGAAACTTGTTTGAATGTTATTCGTCAACCGTTCCATAAAACTCCTAAAACTCTTGTTCCATAAACTCTTAATTATCTTCGAAAAAAGTAATCACACCTTTTTAGCCCTAATGTTGTTTTTGTTGTTCTCGATTTTTTCAGAAACCAAAAAAGCGCTGAAAAAGGAAAATGAAGCTCCGCGCCAGGATCAATTTTATCCGATGCTTTGTGATTCGAAAGAAAAGCCGGTCAACCGATTTTTCTTTTCAATAATCTGCCAATAGGTTATGGAATGAGTAAATTTATAGAAAAATTATACGGTTATAATTATACGGTTATAGTTATACGGTTAAGTTGGCTAAGTTGGCTGGCTGCAAAGTTACAACGAAGAATTCTTGTCTGGGTAATTTTGCCCAACCCTGTTTACTGGTTTATCCGGAGAAATGGCTTGCTAAACCTTTCTATTTCTCTCACCAATCACTTCTGTGCGTGAAAACATAATCGTGGCATTCATATGAAAATATTACAGCAACAGGGTCAGAGTTTTTTGTTTAGAAGTTTAGAATCCAGTATACAGAGTGCGCCAAAAGTTCCGTCATCATACTTATTGGGTTTATAGATTTTAAAGCAAATATTGGATTTTTTGAGCTTGTTTTATGAATATTGAATAACATATATAAAAAGCGTCAAATAAAATGTTCGTAGAAGAATTCTATCTTTCTTTTCTATCTATCTTTTACTAGTAACAAGTACTAAATTTTCTAACTCTCAGCTAGCTCTCAGCTTCTAGCCTTTTTGCAAAAGCAACGTATGCCATTGAGCCTCGCTACTAGATAGTTTAAAAGTTCTACTTTTTTCTATGATATTCTGCATTGGGCTAGAACAAAATTCGGTTTTTGCGCCTTGAGCCAACTTTAGGGAGGTGACAGAAGAACAAAAGTTCCAAAAGAACTTTTGGCGCTACTGTTACGTTTTGAGAGATGCCTATCCAGACCTTTTATCTTTCTTTCCAAGAACTTCTGAAAATAAAAACAGTTCTGACATTCAATAGAAGATGTTACAGCAATCAAAGCTTTCTGCTAAGGATTTTACTGAGTGTCCAAGTAAGAGATCCAGGAATTCCTAGTATGTTAGAGAGATGATCGCCTAGATCTTTTCAATTCTCTTGTCAAACACTGCCACTTAGAAGTCTTCAGTACACCAAATTTGAAGTCTTCAGTACACCAAATCAAAAGCAATATTCTTCCGTGTTGTCCAGTGGTGATTCAAGGAGAAGACTGAGGCTGGGGCTTAGAAGTTGAGGGTTGAAGGGGCGTCTATTGATGGACATAGGAAAAGAGGGGGAGATGAAGGGATTGAAGCGAATGGAAAGCTCTCAAGAAAGAGGAAAGAGAGAAGGGCCCTAAGGGGCAAAATGGAAAGAGGGAAAGGGCACAAGGCACACAAGGGTCATCGAATACCCCTCTCCCCCTTCGGCTATTCTTTTCCATACCCCCGTCTTGGTAGAGCGCTAGTCAAAGCACAACCCGAGGCCATTCTTCCAAAAAATCCTTAATATCATTTGTTTTTTGAAGCTTCTTAGTTAACTGGATATTTGATAATCTAGCTCAAATCTTGCTGCTTTTCTAGCGCTTAATTGCTTAGCAAAAGCTTAATACTTTGAATTGTAACTTACCAAGTAAAACTTTGAGTGAAGATTGTTTCTTTTTTTGCACATTTTATGTCAAAAGCAGCAGTTCCTTCTCTCGATTTGTAAAAGATTGATGTTCACTTTTTATAAAACTCTACAAAATTAACAAACTTTTTCTGTTGAGCTATGTTTTTCCGTTTTCGTTTTTCCGTTGTGTCTTACCCGTTACCTCTTTTCCCTTTAACTGGGTGTGAGCCGATCCCCAAATCCAATAAGGCCACACTCCAGAGAGAGGCCTCAATTCGCGTCCTCACTAACACACCTCTTTTTTTGCAAATAGATAAGCTTTAAGTTTATAATCTTTAAGTTTATAATCTTTAAGTTTATAATCTTTAAGTTTATAATCTTTAAGTTTATAATCTTTAAGTTTATAATCTTTAATTTATAAGCTTTAATTTATAAGCTTTAAGTTTATAATCTTTAAGTTTATAAGCTTTAAACTTCTAAGATTTAAATTTCAAGTACAATTTTTAACTTTATAAGCTTTAAACTTTAAACTTTAAACTAAATTTAAATCTATCACAATACTTATTTGTTGTACTTGTTGTACAACAAATAGTTGTACTATTTGTTGTACTTTATTTTGAAAATAAAAACACGATCTTTCTAGCGCAATTACTTTAAACTCAAGAAAAGCAAGCCTGCCGTCGATTAAAGACTTTTAAAATTTTACCACGGTAAACCTATAACTTTCTAGCTGATTTACAGTAAAAAAATGAACAATTTAGGAGTTTGAATGTTCCTCTTCAAGAGATAATGAAGTGCTTTCTCTATTGCCTATATTTCTATCAATTTGCCGATGCTTTGCGTAAAGCAAAAGACTTTGAGAGTCAATTGTACGAGGATCTTCTCTATGACTACAATCGCATTCCCAGACCCGTCAGGAATAGCTCCGATATTTTGACTGTTGATGTCGGGGCGTCCTTGATTCGAATCATTGATGTGGTTGGTTGTTTCGAATTTGGAATGATTCTCATTGAAAATTCAGGATGAAAAGAACCAGGTCCTCACCACGAATCTATGGCTCGAAATGGTGAGCTTCAATAGAAAATTGGTATAGGAATCGTGGGCAACTTTAGCAATGGTATGACTCAAAACTCGTGTGGAATCCGGACAAGTATGGGGGTATCAAAAAGCTGCACATTCCGAGCGAATTCCTTTGGACTCCAGACTTGGTGTTGTACAACAAGTGAGTGCGATCAAATCTAAAAATCTGTTTTTTTTGGTCCAAAGACGACTGAGAAAAAGCTCGTACAGACGGACAGACAGACACTGTTTTTTATATATAGTAAATTTGCCAAAGAAGTATTCCAATCTCATACAAATACAAAATCTTGTAAAGTATTAACACCAAAACCGAGCCAAAGTATGCCAGGATCATGTCAGAGATTAGGTCCTGGCCTGCCCTAGCTTTACTGCAGACTGGACCTAACTTTTGACTTGGTCTGGCCTTGTTACTCTGGATTGTATACCCTCGGGCTCAGTTTGAACATTCCTAATTACTAGAATCAATGCTAAACTTGCTTTCAGTGCTGCCGGGGACCCAGACATCACCATTCTCACCGATGCCCTTGTCACTCACGAGGGTAAGTTATTTATCTATAAATACAAACAAAATTAATGACAAAAATAACAATCACAAATTTAAAAATTAGCATCCCTTTTATTTTCCGCCTCTCGCAGACGGTTTCTGATTTTATTTCGAAGAAGACCCTCAGGCGTAGACGTGGCACAGACGTTCCGAGGCGCGGGTGATGGCATGAAACATCCTTAAACAAAGAAAAACCTATATTCCGAGCTTTCTGCAAAAGCCGATTTCCCATTGAGCGTACCTCTTTAACCTTCAGCGCTAGCGCGAATTCTGAGGCTGAAGCTTCCTAAAGAAAGGTCATAAAGAAAAAATAAAACCACACCCTTGCATTGACGATCGGGACACCGATAAACCAAAGATGACGAATCATTGACGTCTACAAACTCGAAATTCTGAATGAGGATAGCGTCGGTGTTGAAGTTGTTGTGGAGACGGAGAGCAAGACGGAGATCGATCGCGATCGCGTTAATCCTGTCGTACTGGCTTTGGTCGTGTGGCTGGTGGCACTGTAGGTATCCGCTCTGGCGCTGTAGAAATGATCGAAGGGTCGCGTCTCAACTTCAGAACCAATGTAGATCTAAAATAACGATTATCAAACAGAAACTACAAAAACTACCTCTTTCTTGGTTTTTCCATGGTGGAGTGAATACGTTATGCACATCTTGGGGGAACCTGGATTGGCGAGCACTTTCACCTAAAGTAATATAATATAAAGCTACAAACAAAAAACCATAACTCGCCCAATGTCGAGTCGGCTTCTGATTGTTGAGATGCAAGTTGGATCGGCTCACAAATGCAGCGAGCAGCGTGTCCCGGACGAGCGTTCGTCCATCTGTTGAGTTTATTCTCGGCGGCGGGAAAACACGACAGCCAGCTCACCGTATTCTTTTCGGTGACCGTCACAAGTTCATCACTAAAGTAAGAAACAAACTTTTACAACCTTAATACAAACTCACAACTTGCCTCCCATCACCAAGAGCATACTCGACGCGTGAACCCCTTTTGCCTGTTTGAGGGTTGGTGGTTGAGATCTTGCCTAAACTTTTATTTTTAAAATTTATAATAAACAACAACAAATAAACCGTGTAACCGCAGTTGTTTTCTCGACATGAGTAGCGAGGCTCCAAGCCTATCGTATCGCCATGAAGAGCAGCGTGATGGATCAACTCTTTGGCACGGCTCGACGAGATCATCTTGTGGCAGATCTATTATAGATTAAAAGTTAATTGAATTATGAAAAACCCAACCGTGCATTGAAAAACCCAACACGTTTAACTGCTGTTAGAGAGGGCCCTCTTCTTCGTTTTCCGACACGAAAATCACCTAAATTTAACCAAATTCAATAACTCTAAATCTTGAACAAACCTCTTCTCCTGAAAGATCGTTGCAAACATTGAGCGAGTCCACCGGTTCTACCGTCGAGTTTTCAAGCGAGTCAGGCATCACATCTGAATCACGGTCGTCTTTTTAAAGAAATCAGTTGTAAAAAGATGACCAAACAGTGCTTACCTTGTGAGACTCGGTGACTTGTTTCCGTCGCTTCCACCGCCATAAGCCGATTGAACCGAAATCATCCTTAAAATAAACAGAGTTCAATAGATTGCTCAAGAATGTATTCATTTTAAAGGTTAAAGTTAAATAAAAGCTCGAAATTAACTCGAAACGAAGTCAACTTAACTTTTAATCCGTAAGCGATCGACAATAGACAGACGTCAATAGCCATGCACAAAATAGTATCATTCCTATTAGGTTGGAAAGAAAGTTCTCGGAAAAAGTTTATACTAATTTTTTTAAAACTAGAAAATAGTCAATCAATGAGGCTTAAAAGGGGGGGTATTAATCGCGGCCGGGTGACGATAAAAATTTTTTTACGGCAACCACCTGTTTTTTTATTTTAATATCGCTGATTTTATTATAAAAAGAATAAAAATCACCCGGCTAGAGTGATTTGATGGGCTTCCAAATTTTTGGAGACACTGCAAGGCTTGGAGAAAAACAAGATCGTCACTCATCAGACACCTCAGCTAAAAGGCACCTATTTGAGAAAACTAAAACCACAAGCGATCACAAATGGAAAAAGGATCTAATTGTGTCAATCAAAGCGCTGAAGACGTCCTACGGTGGAGGAGATCCAGTCACTTCTGGTGAAGATGCGCTGGAAATTGATAAGATAGGAAGCCGATTTGAGGAACTGCTGTACTTGAGCGAAGATGAAAGTGAGCAAGAGGAAGAATTGTAGATTAACAATTTATTTTTATTGTTTTTTGTGTTTTTTATTTTGTTTTTAAATTTATCTGCAATTAAAACTCAATCGATCTAGACTGTGCTGAGGTGTCTGATGAGTGACGATCTTGTTTTTCTCCAAGCCTTGCAGCGTCTCCAAAAATTTGTAAAACCCATCAAATCACTCTAGCTGGGTGATTTTTATTCTTTTTATAATAAAATCAGCGATTTTAAAATAAAAAAACAGGTGGTTGCCGTAAAAAAATTTTTATCGTCACCCGGCCGCGATTAATACCCCCCTTTAAATGATTAATAGTATGAAAAAAGCGGCATCCAGCTAGCAAATAAAATGAAATTAATGTAAATTTTTGAGATTTCATTTGTTGAGTGCAGTTACGGTTGCTCACTTATCTTTTCGAGTGCCTTATCACTCGAGAAGAGTGAGAAGTTTGGTTTTATTGTATAGTATATAATATATTACAGGTCGAGTTTTCTGGCAACCTCCCGCTATCTACAAATCATTTTGCCCAGTAAGCGAAAGCGTTAGGCTTGTCTTACTTTCGAATTTTCAGATTGATGTCACTTGGTTTCCGTACGATGAGCAGAACTGCAGCATGAAATTCGGCACTTGGACGTACACGGGTAAATATGTCGACTTGAGACAACTTCCAAAAGGTGAGAAATGTGAAAGGAAAACGAGTCTTGGTTGTAGAAAAAGTACACATCACGATTGATGACAAAAATGATGAGGTTGAGCATTTGGCGCTTGGGATGGATCTCTCGTTTTTCTACAGGTAATGAAGCTCTTCATTTTGTTCCGCTAACCATTTCGCGTACGTTCAGACTTTCTGGACAGCCTAATACTTAGCAACAATAGTACAATGAAACCAAAATTCTACGTTAGCAAGGCGTTTCTTTACTTCAGCAAGCTTTAGTTCTGCTGAATGGGACCTCCTATCGTTGAAATCGAAAAGACAAGCCGTCCTCTACGCCTCATGTTGTGGACCAGAAAAGTTGGTTTTGCAGAAAATTACAGTTTTATCGAAAGCTCTCATTTTAGATACATCGATATCACGTACGAGTTTCTATTGAGACGAAAAACCCTTTTCTTCACGTGCAATCTCATCGTTCCCTGTTTTCTCATCTCCATTCTCACCACTTTCGTCTTTTATCTATCCGATCACAAAATCACCTTCTCGATCTCGATTCTCGTCACGTTGACTGTGTTTTTCTTGGTGAGTGGAGAAAAGTTAACTCATAAGCTAAGGTTTAACCGTAGGCCACTTTTTAAAATGTTTCCCACCTACCTAGGGTTGTTTCAACTTGGTCCTAGCCAGACCTGGTCCTAGCCAGACCTGGTCCTAGCCAGACCTGGTCCTAGCCAGACCTGGTCCTAGCCAGACCTGGTCCTAGCCAGACCTGGTCCTAGCCAGACCTGGTCCTAGCCAGACCTGGTCCTAGCCAGACCTGGTCCCTAGCCAGACCTGGTCCTAGCCAGACCTGGTCCTAGCCAGACCTGGTCCTAGCCAGACCTGGTCCTAGCCAGACCTGGTCCTAGCCAGACCTGGTCCTAGCCAGACCTGGTCCTAGCCAGACCTGGTCCTAGCCAGACCTGGTCCTAGCCAGACCTGGTCCTAGCCAGACCTGGTCCTAGCCAGACCTGGTCCTAGCCAGACCTGGTCCTAGCCAGACCTGGTCCTAGCCAGACCTGGTCCTAGCCAGACCTGGTCCTAGCCAGACCTGGTCCTAGCCAGACCTGGTCCTAGCCAGACCTGGTCCTAGCCAAGCCAGGCCTGATTTAGTCAAGCTAAGCATAGTTTGGCCAGAAACTAGATCTAGGTCAGAATCCTGGCGGGTCCAAGGTTTGTAGTAAAGCCAGGCTAGATCTGCAGCAGGGCCAGGCCAGATAAAGTTATTGCCTTTGGTTACCTTCTTCCAGGCCAAGCAAAGCTAAAGTTCCAGCCAGAGTTGAAAAACGACTTTTTAGAATATTATAGAACCTTTCAAAAAAAGGTTGAAGCCCTTCCCAAAAAGGTTTGAAGGCTCTTGCAAAAATTTCTACTACTATAATATATCCTTTTTACAGGATAAACCCTGAAAAGCATTCCTACTTGTTCACTTTTCTTATGTCCCATTGCCAGAAAGTGATTACAAGATCGTAAAAAAAACACTCAAAGACACCAACATTCGGATGTATAATAGTTTTGTTTGTTAATCTAATCTTTTATGAGCCGTTCTGAAAAAATTAGAAGGTCCTTTCAAAAATTTTCGCGTAAGACATGTTGTAAATTGATGAGGAAGGGGTGAGGTTGTCTCTTTAGAGTGAGCCTTTTGCCAGAAAGGGAGCAACTACGAGAATGTACAATAAAAACCCCGCTGGCTCTATCGTTAATCCAAGGGCCGGAAAAGTTATTCGCCAACAGAATTTGTTTTTTATCTTATAGTTTTAACATTCCTAGCCTCAAAGGGATCAATCTTTGATATAGCGAAAGAATTTCAATTTCCCAACCAAGTACAATAAAAAAATTCAGGTGTTGATCGATTTAATGCCTCCAACATCGCTTGTCATTCCAATGTTCGGTCGTTATTTGATCACCACAATGATCCTCGTCGCTTTGTCCACTGCGGTTTCCGTTGTGACAGTGAATTTCCGTTTCCGATCGGGTTCAGCTCATCGAATGTCCCCATGGATTCGAACGCTCTTTCTGCAGTGGTTACCCATGTAAGTGATTTTAAATACCGTATTCTCTCTAATAGTAGTGCACCCCGCCGAGTCGAGTTGATGACTATTTTATGGTTTCCAAGCTTTTGCACAAGCTCAACACTCTAATCCCCACAAGAGCGCGTCATCAGCTACATTTTCCGACCCCACATCGATAGGTTCTGAAGCGATAGGTTCTGATAAGCGGTTCTCGAGCTTTCAAGCAATTTAGGCAACGCTCAGCGGGCACTACTATTAAAGAAAATACGGTATATTTCATTCGCACAAATAATTTAGGATAAACAAGCACAACCCATAAGCCCTAAATGTAGAGAAAAAAATCATATTAAAAAGAACCAATAATCTAGCTGACGAAATTGAACCCTTGACATCCCGACCAAGGCTCTTAGCCAGTCGGCTATGACGGCATGTGATTGTGGTTATAAAATAACTGATTATAAGCATTCCAACAATTGGAAACTGTTGAAAAATGATCATTGGCTGATTTTTTAGAATTCTGATGATGAGGAGACCGAAAAAGCAGGAAAGTGAGGTGAAGCCACCGGCTTTGGTTGACCCGGCGAGTCTTGTTGGAGCTAAATATCGGTATTGTTTTGGCTTGAGCATTAAATCAATTTAGATAAAAATATAGCTAGATAAGGGTTCATTCTATTTTTTTAAATTTAGAGAAGAAGAGAAAGTGGCTCGAAGTTTGCTTCGAGAAAGCAAGAAGAAGGCACAGAACAACAAAGCCTATCCAGGGATGAGAATGACCGATTTGAGATTGAACGAGGCTGAGGTAGAAAGAAAAAAATCGCTGAAATCAAATGGATTCAAACAGATTTCAAATTTCAGACAAGACTTTTCCCGCCTGAAGAGAAATTGGCTCCAACAGTGGCTTTTAAGAAACCAAGAAAGAAAGCGAATCAAATGAATGACGCCATTTTCTTCAATCTCCTTCAACAGGTTCGATTCATCGCCGAGCATTTCATGCACAACGAGAAAGAAGCTGAGGTAAGGTCAAGTACAATAAACAGTATTAAAAAGTACAAGTACAATATTAAAAGGTTTTTTACTATACGATTATTCCTTGTACAGAGATCAGGCTAGGCTAGGGCCGGCTTGACTTCATAAGAACCCATTTGTGAGTCAGTCTTGCAACAAAATCAAGCCAGAAGCGACCAAGCAAGTTCAGAATCAAGACCAGATCTTCCTCTAAACTTGCCTGGTTCGGAAAATTGTCTTTGAAATAACAATTTCCTACTTTACTACTTTGGAACTGATTATGGGATGATTATGGATTATCAGATTATAGATAGTTTAAAAATATAAAAAACAGGATTATCTAAAGATAGAGGACCTCATAATCCATCAAGAAACCTCATAATCCATCAAATTCCAGATCTCCGACGATTGGACCTTTGTTGCAATGGTGTTAGACCGGCTCTTCTTGGTGATTTTCTCGGTGCTAAACGTGGCCACCACTTTCATAATTCTACGGGTGAGTGGATAGATTCTGAAGTGCTCTATTGAAGTAGAATTGATATCAAGAATGTAATGAGCAAGTATACGAACTTATATCAAAACTAATTCATGTAAGCATGAAAAAAGACAATGGAATATATTGAATTGACAAAATGACATACAGTAAACTTGAACAGAAGAAGAATTATAGAAACTAAAGAAATTAAATATTATAGAGACTATAAATTAATTCTATGCAAATTCAACGATTACCTATACTTTTAAAGTGCCTTTCTTGCCCACTCAGCTGAATATCTTCTAGTTTCGTGGGGAATTACAAATAAAAGGGGCAGCTACGAAAAAGCTAGCAGAAAAAGGGGCGGAGTTTTATAGCTTTCGTAGCTGCCCGATTTGTTTGACTTTTTTTTATAAAATTAAAAGATATTCAACTAGAGCTTAGGGCACTTTGAGAGTATACGATTATGTAGTAAAATTCAAAAGGAATGACGATAAATCTAAACTTAAGCACTTTCTTCAAATCAATTTACCTGAATTCCTAAGAAACAATAATGTAAAATAAGGGAAAAGATCAAATCAATATAAAAAGATAAAGATCAAAGATAAAATCATAAAATAAGATAAAATCAAATGCCTAGAAACGAAAGTAGATCAAACTAATTGACTAAATTCAAGATTTTCAGAAACGAGCATAACTCTGTAAAATTTACCCAGTTTTTATGTCTTTTAAGAGTCTAATAAGAGTTGCATTCACAGATATGGCAACAAATTTCAAATTCTAGAAACTCTATTGAGGAAAAAATGTGAATTCCACCAGATCACTCGAGGATCTGGTGGAAAGGAGTTTAAATTTGGGACAAACTTAAAGTTCAAAGAAACAAACTGATAAACTGATACTCCAATTCAGGCTCCTTCCTTATGGGATGATCGAGAGGCGCTCGAGCAAAAGGAGGGACCGATCAAGCCGCTAGGGATGGCGAATATCATTACCAGTTATGGGGCCCCACTTCGATAATCACTTTGTTGTTTACTTGTGTTTACTTGTGTTTACTTGTGTTTACTTGTGCTTACTTGTGCCAATTCTTTGCCTCTTTGTAACCATGAAAGCCAAAAGTTGCTTTTCACTTAATCGTAGACGAGGTAGATGGATTTGTATAGAATTTTGATCTCATTCTTGCGATAAATGATAAATAAATGTTTCGATTTTGTAAAGTTAACCGATTTAAACGTTAGAATGATCATTTTCTAATAAGGATCATTTTCATAATAAGAATCATTTTCATTTTCATTTTCATTACGTTAGAAGGACCACGGAACAGAACTGAAATCGACATTAATGTCAGAAGAAGATCTGAAAGTTTACCTTCAGAAATGCTTCTCTAACATCGCACAAGGCAAACAAGGCAAACTATCTATCAAAGTTCATCAAAAGACTTTCAAAAGTGTCATTTTGCACACATCACATCACTATTTTCGCGGTTTTGCGGGGATTTTCGGATCGGAAATGACCGGCACACATCGGGAGGCCATATTTGACGCGATTGACCCTTGAGCCACTTTTTGCGCACCTTTTCACACACCTTTCCCTGTCTGCGTCTCTTCACATTTTCTAGATTTCTCCTATCTCTTTCTGTTTTCAGTACTCTATATCTTGATGTCTCTATATGAGCAGGAATGGGGTAAAAGAAGCGAGGCCGTCCCATCGACCGTTCCCCCCGGCCTTCACCCCACCACACCCAAGCCTACTACCAACCTTACTACTAGATTTTTTACTACTAGATTACTTATAACTTTACTCCTGCAGAATACGATCTTATTATATCCCGCAAATCTATTTTTCCCTGCATCAATCCTATAATATCCCGCAAAGATAGCGTTGTTAAAATTTGCATATATCAAAAAGTCCAATTGCACAATGGAATCAGTTATTTTGAAGCTGAAATCAGTTATTTTAAAATCGAAATTTTACGGGGTATATTAGGATTGATACAGGAGCAAATTTTGCGGTGATATAACAGAAAAGTTTTTTTTTGATCTGGCTTCGCATTTAGGTGTTCCTATTTGCGCAGATCACAACCTGCTTCCACATTTCTCTATCCCTTGCTATTGTCATCCAGTATTTCCTATCTTGGCTGTTCCTGGTTCGAAGTCTTCGACTTGCTTGTGTTGGTGCGACTCTAGCCATCCTTTCTCTGACCGTCGCTGCCACTCTTGTGCCCCACCTCGTTGCTGGTCTTCCGATGGGCTTCTTCTGGTCTCGTGGTAGCCACTCTGTGATCCGTATCGTCCATCTATCGTCTGTTCTTCCGTATCGTTCATCTGTCGGCTACGTGGCCGGCCCATCTGAGTCTTTTTCTCTCGATCACTTCCACTGGATCTCTGAGTCCCGAGGGCTGCCGCAGATCCGTACTTCTTAGGTCTTGGTCGAGCTGCGTAACAGGAAAGTATCGAAAGTTCTGGGTTTTTGGTTTATCCTTAACCTATCCCAAACTTTATTTTCGTTTTCACACCTTCACTACAGGGTGATCAAAAAGCTAAATAGCTCTGATCAGGATGGTTTAGGTGTAGAAATGCTTTCCAGAATTTCAGCTTCAAAATACTATATAGTACTTGTAAATGATTCATTTTCTAAATGAAAGCTAAAGCAAAATTTACTGTGTTTAATAGTATTTTGAAGCTGACTTTCTGATGAACATTTCTATAAATAAATCACTTCGATCAGAAATTTCTAGCCTTTTCAAGAAGTCTTGCACTGCATTCGAGACAAACCGCTCATCAGACAAACACAATTTCGCATGTTTTTCAAGTTTTTGAAGACTATTTTTAATTTGACGAGAGATTTTATCTTTTAAAATAACATTCGAACTGTTACTTAAAACAAAAATGTAAATTTAAAAAGGGTTTTTGAAGGGTTTTTCAATTGAAAACAGGTTCAAATAGGTGGGCGCCATGACAGGTTTCCTTCAGCCCACTACAATGATTTTTTGGAGAGCTAAATAGCTCTGATCAGGATGGTTTAGGTGTAGAAATGCTTTCCAGAATTTCAGCTTCAAAATACTATATAGTAAATCCGATTCTGATCTGAGTTTTAGCTGAAAAATCGAGCATCTTTTGTAAAGGAACTTTTTCCCTGCATTATCCTGGTTAGCATTTGGTCGTCGAGATAAAGGTAAAGCGTTTATTTTGCAAATATTACAAGCTTTTTGATCATCCTGTTCGTTTTTGATTATCCTGTTCTTTTTTGATTATCCTGTAATGTATGTAATAATTGAGTAGCACAGATAAAGTCAAGAATCAACTAGAACTTCAAGAACAAGATCACCTACAGATAGGATCATCTACATATAGCTTAAAGGCTTCAAGACGATTGAACTCTCTCAAAACTCTCGGGAGACGATCCCAAATTCTGGGAGTTCTTAGTGGAAAAGAGTTCTACACAAGTTTATTGAAGGTGATTGGAATTTCTAACACGAAAGAATCTCTGCTTGAATAAACCGTGGGATTTGAATAAACCGTGGGGTTTGAATAAATCTTGAAAAAAGGATATGTTGCTTGATTTGAATTAGTTAGTGAATTAGTTCAGTTCAAAATCAAGTAGCTTTCTTTTCAAACATCTTTGATAAGCTTGCCCTTTGTTTTTCCCTTTATAGGCCTTCTTATCAAGGAATTCCTTTTATTGAAAAGAAACGAACACAGCAAAAATTGATTGAACTCGCAAAAAATAGTTTTTGTTTACTATTACTCGACCAAATTCTGGAATTCAAAGCATTCATTTTGATTAAAAAAAATCTTTTCATTCTGGGAATCCAAAGCTTTCATTTTCTGAAAAAATTTCTGACAAAAACTGACAAAATTTCTCTTCCCAAGTCCAGTTCCTGATTTTTTACGTTCTGCTTGCAAAAAGAGCTCGAGTTTGGGTGATTTATTGTTTAAAGAAATGGTTTGGTGGATAGTGGATGATTTGGATTGTGGTTGTTTTGAAAGATTGTGGTTGGTTGGTTAAATCGAGTGATTTGTTGCTAATTTAAATGTTTTGTGGCTAATTCAAGTGATTTGTTGACATTTTCCATTGAAATATCAAGATAATGGGCCGTTTAAGCCGTTTGTTGCCAATTTAAGTGTTTTTTTGGTTAAATCGAATGATTTGTTGCTAATTTAAATGTTTTGTGGCTAATTCAAGTGATTTGTCGAGATTTTCCATTGAAATGCCAAGATAATGGGCTATTTAAGTTGTTCGTTGCTAATTTAGGTGTTTTTTCGGTTAAATCGAGTGATTTGTTACTAATTTGAATGTTTTTTGGCTAATTCAAGCGATTTGTCGAGATTTTCCATTGAAATGTTCAGAAAATGGGCTGTTTAAGCCGTTTGTTGCTAATTTAAGTGTTTTTCGGTTAAATCGAGTGATTTGTTGCTAATTTAAATGTTTTGTGGCTAATTCAAGTGATTTGTTGACATTTTCCATTGAAATATCAAGATAATGGGCCGTTTAAGCCGTTTGTTGCCAATTTAAGTGTTTTTTTGGTTAAATCGAATGATTTGTTGCTAATTTAAATGTTTTGTGGCTAATTCAAGTGATTTGTCGAGATTTTCCATTGAAATGCCAAGATAATGGGCTATTTAAGTTGTTCGTTGCTAATTTAGGTGTTTTTTCGGTTAAATCGAGTGATTTGTTACTAATTTGAATGTTTTTTGGCTAATTCAAGCGATTTGTCGAGATTTTCCATTGAAATGTTCAGAAAATGGGCTGTTTAAGCCGTTTGTTGCTAATTTAAGTGTTTTTCGGTTAAATCGAGTGATTTGTTGCTAATTTAAATGTTTTGTGGCTAATTCAAGTGATTTATTGACATTTTCCACTGAAATGCCAAGATAATGGGCTGTTTAAGCCGTTTGTTGTTTTGAAAGATTGTGGTTGGTTGGTTAAATCGAATGATTTGTTGCTAATTTAAATGTTTTGTGGCTAATTCAAGCGATTTGTTGACATTTTTCATTGAAATGCCAAGATAAACGAGAAATTTGTTGCTAATTTAGGTGTTTTTTGGTTAAATCGAGTGATTTGTTGCTAATTTAAGTGTTTTGTGGCTAATTCAAGTGATTTGTCGAGATTTTCCATTGAAATGCCAAGATAATGGGCTATTTAAGTTGGTCGTTGCTAATTTAGGTGTTTTTTCGGTTAAATCGAGTGATTTGTTACTAATTTAAATGTTTTGTTGCTAATTTATTTTATTTAAAATTTCTCTTCCCAAGTCCAGTTCCTGATTTTTTACGTTCTGCTTGCAAAAAGAGCTCGAGTTTGGGTGATTTATTGTTTAAAGAAATGGTGGATGATTTGGATTGTGGTTGGTTTGAAAGATTGTGGTTGGTTGGAAAAGAAAAAGGGAGATCACCAAGGGCGACGGTGTGTTGTGAACGTATTTAGCCTTTCCCCACATTCTGTCGAGAAATCGGGAAATGTAATGGAGAAAAAATTGATCTTTTTGATAGAAAAACACCACGCCCAAGTGTTGTTTCAATTTTTGAAGTTGAAACTAGTTGAAAGTTTTGGGCTAAAGTGTTTTGTTTCTGAGATAAGTTGTTCAAGGGTCATTTTGGCGTTAAATTCTTGGACTTTTCCTTTTGTATGACCTTTATATCACAAATTAACCTAAAATTTTGATTTTCCAAATCTTCAATAAGCTTCAAATCTGTTTTGCTAAATTTACTTTGTGCTTAAGACTGTAAAAACACCTTTTCTATTGCAATGAACTTTAATTTCTTTAATTCTCTTTTCTTTATTCTTTCTTTTTGTCTTTCTTTATTTCTTTCTTTATTCTTTCTTTTTCTTTCTTTATTCTTTCTTTATTCTTTCTTTATTCTTTCTTTATTTCTTTCTTTATTCTTTCTTTATTCTTTCTTTTTGTCTTTCTTTATCACTAAACTTTAACTTCTTTATCGTTATCACAAGAAAAATGACACCAGAAAAGGTATGCTTCTATAATATATTCTAGCACAAAGTATCCTGTACAGCCAAATTTC